CTCACTTGGTAGTCCAGGCTGGCCTCGAACTCACAGAGATCCACCTGGCTCTGCCTCCCGAGTGCTGGGATTAAAGGCGTGCGCCACCACCGCCCGGCTGAGAAACCATCTTTTATTGGGTACTTTCTGTATGGTAGGGACTATAATTTATTTCAGTTAATTCTCAATTCTCCCTAAGGGGTATGTAGAACTGATAAGGAAACCAGAACAGTTAATTTACTGAAGGCCACACAGCTTCTAAAATAATTAAAACCTATTTTCTGTGCTTTGCACTTTCAGCTCTGGCACTCTTTGATTTTTAAAGCAGTTATTTAAAAATATTTGCCAACTGGAAACGTCACAGATAACAGCAGTTCAAAGTTGGGCATAATACTGTGGTGGAATGCCTGCAGTCACAAAACTTCTGTGGCTGAAGAAGGCAGATTACTTCAGTTCAGGAATTCTAAAGGAGCCCATCCTTTTTATTTTTGTTTGTTTTTCGATACAGGGTTTCTCTGTGTAACAGCCCTGGTTGTCCTGAAACTTGCTCTGTAGACCAGGCTAGCCTCAAAATGCAGAGATCCCAGTGCTAGGATTAAAGACCTGTGCCATCCCTGCCCACCAGGAGCCCATCTTTAAAAAAAAAAAAAAAAAAAAAAAAAAAAAGTTAAGTTTTTTTTTAAAAAAAGTCTTGATTTGCCTTCTTTTATTGTGATAAAACACCCACCAAGCCCAAAAGCAAACTGAGAAGGAAAGGGTTAGTTTTGGTGTACAGTTGTAGTCACCCAGAGCCGGAACTCAAGCAGAGGCCTTGGAAGAAGGCTGCTTATTGGCTTCTCATGGCATACTCACCCTGCTTTACCCAGAACCACCAGCCTGGGGGTGACACTCCCCTCAGGGGTCTGGGCCATCCCAAGTCAATAAATAAGAAAATGCCTCCACAGATTGACCAATCTGATGAAGGCAATTCCTCATGATTCCTTCCTCCCAGATATGATTAGGTTTGTGTCAAATTGACAAAAAAACCAATTGACACATTCAACTACATGATGATGGGAAATTTCCTAACCTTACATAATCCAAGATAAAAACCACTTGCTTTATTTAGCATTTTTTGTTTTTGTTTTGAGACAGAGTCTCACTGTGTAGACCAGGCCGACCTCAAACTCACAGAGATCCACCTGCTTCTGTCTCCTGGGTAGGTGCCACCTTGCCTCACTATTTAGCTGATTTTTGAAAAAGTGCTATTAATTTCTATAAAGCAGTAATGGATTTTTGTGTTGTTCTTTTGCAAATGTAGATGTCAAGATTGCTAGAGGAGCTGGACAGTGTTGAGAGAGGTGGTTCAGAGAGAAGTGCTGAGACAAACTGTCCTTCAGGTAGAGCTTTGGTACTTATTAATGCCACATACGAGCATGGTGGGGTTCTGAAGACAGACACTCCTGTTCCACCAGACTAAGCAGAGGTCTTCTCTAAAATGCTTCAGAGGGATGTGGTCCAAAGCCAGAAGGCATAGGCATGGAAAGTAACCCACACTACATGCTGGCTGCTTGAAGTCAGTTTGTCTCTGTTTCTGGGTCAACTAGGGGAGCAGGCAAGATTCTGCCTTTTGACTTCAGAGTCATAGCATGGCCTGTCATGTTCCTGTAGCTGATCCTGGAGGGAGGGAGAGTGCTGGGAGTGTGGCCTGATCTGTGAGGCTGCAGCTTCTGATCTAACAAGGACATACATTATCTGCAAAGTGGGTATGGGAATGCCCCACTTTAAAAAGGAACCACTTGTCCAGGTGTTATGGCTCATGCCTGTAATTCTACCATTCCAGATGCTGAAGTAAGAGCAGTCCAGAGAGTTCCAGGCCAACCTGGGCTTGAGTGTGAGACCCTGTCTCCGAAAACAATAGATAGGTAGGTAGATAGCTAAGTAAATAGGGATGTCCTTTTTTCCCCCTCTGTTAGGGATACTTGGGTTAATGTTGATTAAACACCCAATTATACTGCTGCAAGATCGTAATTCACAGGCTGGTAGTTACAACCTTCTCAGCCATGCATCTTTTCAATTTCAGCCAGGAGGCAAGTCCTTTATTGACCCTTAGGCCTCTTTACTTTTAAAATGGGAACAGTAGTATACCTGTGAGCAGTCTTGATGATTCAGTCTTCCCTTCAGCAAATATTTATGAAGTGTGTACTATGAGCCAAGCCTTGGTCCAGATACTGAAGATAATGCAGTAAACAAGGCCCTTTCTTGGAGTCTATCTTGCAGTGTGGAAAACATCAATACAGATAAAGATGTATCAATGTCAAGTATTTTGGTGATAAGCACTAACAAGAATAAACCAAGGAAGGGGAACACAGCAAAGATGAGAGAGTCTGAGGGTTCTGTACTGTCCAGCAAACACAGTTCTCATGGGCAGGGGAGTAACTCTGTAGATGTGGGCTTTAGGGAGGCAGAGCTTTGGGGTAACAAGAGTCAAAGTGCCCAGGTCTTAGGGAGGGGCCGAGTGGCACTGTGAAGGACCAGCAGGGAGGCAGCCATGATCCTGGGAGAGGCTGGCACCTGAGGGGGGCTGGAGCTCTGTCAAGTAGGCTACTGAAGAGCCTTTTGTATATAGCCTTTCCGTTCTGAGAGTGGTGGACCCACTGAAGTGTTTTTAGTGACAGATTCAGACCTAGTTAAAAAAGGAAATCCTCTGGCAGATGAGTTAGAAGGAGGTAAAGCAAAAGTAAAGGCAAAAGACCACTTAGACCTCTGAAATAATCCAACTGAGGCATGGTGGCTGCTTGGTCAGCATGGGGACTGGTACAGAAAACAGGAAGTGGTTAGATACTGGATTCTGAATAGAGGGCTGACAGAACTTGAGGACTGGTGTAGTGTGATATAAGAAAGGAAAAATCAAGAATGAGCCCAGAAGGACTCCAAGAAGGGTAAGGATGGAGTTTCCATTCCTCATGAGGGAAAGACTACAGATGAACATAAAGTAGGAGAGTTGGGTGCCTATTAGAAGTCAGCAAGGAGCCAGGCTGTGGTGGCACATACCTTTAATCCCAGCACTCAGGAGGCAGAACTCTGTGAGTTCAAGGCCAGCCTGGTCTACAGAGCAAGTTCCAGGACAGGCTCCAAAAGTATACAGAGAAACCCTGTCTCGAAAAACCAAAAAAAAAAAAAAAAAAAAGTCAGCAAGGAGTAGACCTTTGCAGAAAGAGTCTTAGTTTCAGGAAAGGTATGACCCAGAGACCAGAGATACAGTGGGGGCTTACCCAGTGTGGTAGTGTATTTAAGCACTAGGAGACCAGGAGATGAAGATTATATGGACAAAGTCTAGCACGCCCCCCAGCCCCTCTTTCTGTCTCCTCCCTCCAGATTTTTTTTTTTTTTTTTTTTTTTTTTTGGTCTGGGTAATGGAACCCTGAACCTCTGGTACACTAAGGAAGTACTATCACTGAGCTATATCCAGCTCTTTTTATTTCTCTTATTTGGAGGTAGGGTCCACTAAGTTACCTGCTTGGCCTGCAGCCTGCAGCCTCCTGCTTCAGCCTTTGTAATTACTTCAGGCATGTCCTACTAGGGCATCCTGCTCTTTTGTTTTCCTATAAAGATTTTATGACTGGTAAGTTAAAAATTATGTTTAAGCATTTTGCTTCTTGAATTTTCAAATCTACTGTACTGTTTTTGTTGTTTGTAGATATTCACATGGTATGAATATAGGTTGTGATATAGCAAAATGGTCAAAGAAATTCTCGGGCAACTTTAAAATACCATTACAAAGCCAACAACATAACCCCTTACATTTCTAAATTCTTAATCTTTAATCTTTATCAGTTGCCAATGGTTTTCAAACTGATTGACACATATGTTGAAATTACAAAAGGAACGCTGGACTAAATAGGCAACTAAATATGTATCTCTTGGTTGTAGGTCATTAGTAAAACTAATGATACCATATCAAACAAAGCAAAAACTATAAAAAGCTACATTCATGAAAAGTGTCCTTTCCTTTTTTCCTGGGTGGATTGAATTATTACTTAATTTCGGGTGTCATAAGTACAAATTCATCTTTGAAACGGATTTCCTGGCCTCCACCATTTCTAATCATTTTTGTGAAGATCCAAATTTTAATAAGAGATTTCAAAGCCTATGTAGGCAGTTCATTTTCTTACATTCAAAGAACAAAAAGTAAATGTAAACTTGTTTTAAATGATACATTAGCTACAGGAGAGCGTGCTTTTTTTCTTTTCTTTTCTTCTCTTTTAAGGTAAAGCTTTTTGTTGAGTATAACAAACCGTAAGAATATCTGGGGATTCTCACGTATTAGGGGAGCCAAAGCCCCCCAGAGAGAGAGTGGAGGGCGCCTATTTTGCCCTGCAAGGGGAGCTAGCGCCCTCTAGGGCCCTTTCTGACTCCCTGGGTCCTCACCATTTGGACCACTGAGATGAGGCATGCCTGAATCTGTCTGCAAACGACACCTAGCACCTAGAGCAACTCAGCCCGAAAACCCAAACCGACCCTAATCCACCGTATAATTGCAGCGAGACACTTCCGATCAGCTTTGCCCTGACAATGACCCGAAGCTTGAGCTTCTTCTGCCCTTCTCCAAGATGGCTGTTGTTGGCGCCGGGGATTCTGGGTTTGCTGCCCGCGGAACCAGAGGGGAGGTGATGGGGGCGTGTCTTGGGGGGGCGGAGCTGTCTAGAGTCTTGCGCTGATTGGCCGCGGTGGCCGACCGGCCTCCGGCGCTGGTCCATAGCGGGCGCCGCGGCCTGGGCTGGGATGTGACGGGCAGTGGGCTCCGGGCTCCCGGCGGTGACGGCTGTGCGCGGCGGAGACTGCGGCCAGGGCGGCGCAGGCGGGCGGGCAGGCGAAGCCAAGGCGCCTAGGACTGCCGGCCGACAGGGCCGCGGGATGAGGAAGCGGACCGAGCCCGTCACCTTGGAGCATGAGCGCTGCGCCGCCTCCGACTCGTCCTCCTCCGGCTCGGCCGCCGCGGCGCTGGACGCGGACTGCCGCTTGAAACAGAACCTGCGTCTGGCGGGCAAGGGGCCGGCAGAGCCGCGCAGCGAAGCCGACGCGGGCATGAAGCGGGCGCTGGGCAGGTGAGACGCGGCGCGGGTACTCACGGGCCCCTCACCTGGTAGGCAGCTAGTCCCACGCCCCCACCTTCCGGGATCTGCCGTGGGAGCATCCCAGCGTCCCATCCTCCCGGCGTCCTCTTCGACCCTTCTTCAGACTGCCTCCCCTCATCTGGCCTGCAGGGACCATCCAACCCCATTCTTTCCTCCAGGCACCTGCGTCCGGAGCGTTCCTTCCATCCTTGCTTCCCTGGCGTCCGCCCCTACCCTACGGGCTTCTCACTAAACCCACCCAACACTCTGGCTTGGAGACCCTTATCAGGTTAGCCCGTAGGGATACTTAGCGATTGGGTCAGTAGCAGTCAGGGGTCCAGCAGTCCTGACTGGCCCTGGAAGAGTCTCCTGAGGAGTCAGAAAGGCCGTGTGTAAGAAGAGGGCCACGCAGGGTGGACCTCAGACCCTGCAAATGCTGTTAGCCACATCACTTGCTTTGCCTTGACCTCAAACGGAGCTCAAACGCAGCGCTCCTCTGTCTGGAAATTTACGAGGGCTTGGTACTTCCCTTCGGTAGTTCCTCCCAGGTAACTATTTCAGAGCAACATTCGCCGACCCTCTTTCTAGGGTTAGGCCGTTTGTAGTATCTAAGGGAAAGGATGGATGCATCATCCATACTCAGCTATTGGAGGGAACCGGTGGTTGGCTATGCAGGTGGCTCCAGGCACTTGAAGTCTGTACAAGAATTGGTCATTGAGAATCACTTTGTAAGGTCCTGAAGTCTTCTGGGGTTGGTTGATTAGTTAGTTTTGCATCCTCCCTTTGGAATGGAGAAGAGTACAGTTATGTAAAGCTGATTTCAAAATTGAAATAGCATACTTCATAGGTTTCTTTCCCTCTGTGATGGTTTCTTAATCTGACAGTTTGCCAATTTGTAGATTATTATCTTTCTTGAAAGTTTTGAAGTCTTGATAGTTCATGATCAGAGATGTTGCTTTGCAGTATTCCCAAGACAGGAATCGTAGCAGTCATTTCTTTTTACATCAGTTGAACGTTCTTTATGTATATGTAAAATATTTACCTAAATAGAAAGAAAATCAGAGCTTGAAGCTCTGTGGTAAAAGGTCATGAACTTAAGCTATGGAGAACTCTGAAGTCAGTGATTCTCAGTCTTGCAGAAGGGCTCAAACTGGCTGGTTTTGTTTTGTATGTGGGTACAATTAACTATCAAGGGGTAGGTGAGATTGCCTACTTGGTAAAGGCTCCTGCCATCAGGCCTAATGACCTGAGATCCATCCTGGGTCCTAATGGTGGAAGGAGAGAACTATCTCCTGAAAGTTGGCCTTTGACCTCCATGCAATCCACCTCACATACATGCACATAAAATAAATGTATTACATGTAATTAAAAATTAACTAGCAGGTGATTAACCTTTTGTAAAACTGATATACTCCTTTTACTTTCTCTTAAGAAAAGTTTGCCTGCATTAAAAACCTTTGATAGTTCGATTACTTTTTTTTTTTTTAATTTTACCCTCAGCCCCTCACCCCTCAGCTCCCTGCACCAGGTCCCCTGGCCCCATCACCTGCCACGTTTTCATAATCTTCTCAGGCTCCAGACCAGCAGCGCCGGCCACATGAGGCCTGATCATATAAGGAAAATACTCGGGCTCACTCGGGCCTGGGTCGGGGACCCAGGTGCACCCTGCTCTACCGCATTTCCCCTTCCTTCTCCAGACGCCCCAGCTACCCGTGACCGAAACCCCTAGACTACTAGCTCAGGCCTCCGCCATCAGTCGAATACATTTTTATTTATATGCTTTGCATATAACTTAAATAACTTAGAAG